GTACAAATTTCTTGTGCTCCGGGCGCCTTCGCGCGCTGGCAAAAACACCTTGGCAAAATGCCTCCATTTCGTTTTGCCTACGTATATCCAGAAGCCTCCTTTCATTCAAACTGTCCAGGGTGCCACGGCCGCTGAGTTACAACATTACGACAGAGATTCTCACGGCTTTATCCTGTTCGACAATTGCAATTCTATGTCCTTTGTGCTATCTCAGGGGGCCTTATTTCAGGCAAACCCAGACTTTCATCGCTTAGGCCAGTCACAGACGAACATATTCTCATATCAGGTTTATTTATTCAGGGTCCCCATTGTGATCACCATAGATGAATCAACTGACTGGGATGATGACGAACCATGGATTCGCGAGAATCAGCATTTGGTGCAGCTTCCCGGCCCGTGTTATCATTTGGAGTAACAGCCTGCATGGGGTAGAGAAAGGCATGGCTTGGGTTAGGTTTGTGAAACCGCCTGCGGGGGAGATTTGGGTCTACAGCTGCTTGAACCCTCAATGTAATTCGTTTAAGTAAAGTGAAACAGCTGGCCATCTTTCATCGTCTCACTGGTCGATGTCGATTTGGGTTGAACAACTGGCCGCCGTGTGGCATCAGTCCTTTCAGAGAGATTGCTTGCCCTTCTGCATAGCCTGAAGCCGCGACAACAATTCCTTTTCATCAATGCTCCAGAGAGTTACAGACAGAAGATATCACCGCAACATGCTCGAAGATTCAGGCAGGCTCATGACTTTAGGTGTGGTCTTTTTCTTTTGATGGTCTCTGGTGAGGTTCAATTGTGCACCTAATTCATTTGAACACTGACAGCCGTCGATGGGGTTGACGCGAATTCTAGGCCTGTGAGCCTACAACGAGGGGAATATTGCATGCTCATGTGGATGCATCATTCCATGAACTAGTTCCCCATGGGTCCTTTATTTCATGTGTTCTTGCGTTCTCCTCTCTTCAGGTAGGTTTGGCCCTTTGCGTGCTGAGGTTGGTGTAGGTCTTCGCCGTGTTAGGTTGGTTCAGGCGCTTCTGTCTTCCCGCCCCTCCGCTGGTCTTGTTCCGTTGTCCGTCGGCCTCCGCTTTTCTTTTCTCTTGCCTTTTCAGGGTTTCCCGTTCCGGGCCAGGTGTGTTGTGTTGGTGTTCTCTCTTTCCCTCTTCTCTTGCGTTCCCCTCTTCGCGTCCTGGTTAAGTATTTTTCATTTCATTTTCATTGTCATTTCACTTTCATTTTCATTTCATTTGCCCCGCTGCGGTGGGGCGTGTGTGTGTGTATGTGTGTGTGTTCGTTCCATCTGTATAGATGTAAAACTTCAATATATCGCAGGGGGCAGAGGTGCCCATGTCACTTCCTCTGCCAACGAAGCTGAGTGACATGCGGCAAGGATATAGATCAGGGACGCCTGATCTACGTACCTGCTATGGTTAAAACTGTTGACCTCCTGTTCCTGTTCATGAGCTGTGCGTTGTTTATTCTTTGGCGATTCCGTTTCCGTTGTCAAACTACTGAATGCGATCATGATTTACAGTTTTGCGAACCGGCTAAGCCCAGAAACGGCATGTCGATCTTTTGCAGAGTTTCTCGTTTTAATGCACTGCTGTCGCAATCTGTATTTCTCAGCTGTCAATAGAGGGAGAACGACTTGGTTCAGATGGATCAGTTGCTTCGAGCAGTGACTAAACTGGGATTACTTTTCGATCTTTCTCGGATCGTGCCATCAACTCTCTCCTGTCAGGTTAACTGGAGTGTTTTTTGCACGTAAGATGCATTCCACATCAAAATTCGCAATGCCAGTTCTGAGCAAAAGTGTGTGTGTGTGTGTATGTGTCTGTGTCTGTGTGTTTGTGTGTGTGTGGGGTCAACCCCTGTTTCCGAGGGACTTACAAACTTGCAAATTGTTCAATTTTCAATTTTAGGGCAGGGGTGAATCAACCTCAATCTCATCATCTTGCAATCAGGTACGTCGACAACAGTTTTGTCATTGTACAGAAGCACCATCTTCAGACTCCAGTGCTCCAAGTGTTTAAAGACTTGGCCTTTTTTCAGGCCAGTCGAACTAGAGCTTGTTGTGCAGACAATTTACTTCTCGGTCTTTCTGTAGATGTTTCTGGGCTTTCGCTAGATTCAGGACAATGTTTCAGCCAGAACCTTCCGATTACGTTTGAGCGGACTGAAGAGTCGAGCTCAGTTAATTCGTAAATCCCCATGTCCGTCCTGTCAGCCCAGGGTTGGTTGCCCGCATTAGCCCGGGTATATGTACAGAAAGCTTCGCTTTATCAGATATTTGGCGATAGGCCTTCGTGTGTGGGGCCAACCCCTGTTTCCAAGGGACTTACAAGCTTGCAAATTGTTCAATTTTTCAATTTAAGGGCAGGGGGTGCAAGCAGCCCATCCAGTCTTGCACCAACGAAGACACTGACCTGATCAGTCAGACGCACCTGCCATGCTACCATTGCGATTTGTGAAATTCTGTGATAAACTCACAGCAGCGACCGTACTCAATTCGTCATTCCTAAACATGTTTGGGTACAACGGCCTTTTCACGAGCAAAAATCACTAATCGATATGAGCCTCGTGAACAGACATTCTGTCTTACAAGTGTGTGTGTGTATGTGTGTGTATGTGTGTATGTGTGTATGTGTGTATGTGTGTATGTGTGTATGTATATGTGTGTGTATGTATGTATGTATGTATGTAGGTAGGTAGGTAGGTAGGTAGGTAGGTGGGCATGTAGACATGTAGGTATGTACGTTTGTATGTATGTATGTATGTATGCATGCATGCATGCATGCATGCATGCATGCATGGATGGATGGATGTATGTATGTATGTATGAATGTATGTAGGTATGTGTGTATGTAAGTAGGTATGTATGTATGTAGGTACGTATGTATGTATGTGTGTGTATGTGTGTATGTGTGTGTATGTGTGTGTGAAACATCTGAATAGATGTAAAACTTCTTCCTGATGATGTCTGTTTCCACTGCTTAGTTTGACCGTAGGTAATCTGATCTTTTTGACTCCGTGACTTTTGTGGATGTTGTTTTCAGAATTTGCAGCAGGGGGGCAGTGAATCTCATTCCATCCACTGCCCAACGAAGACGGTGGCTTGAGATTGTGATATCGGGACTGATCATCCCGACGTACCTGCAAATTTCCATTTCGTTGTCAATGGCAACCGGCTTAGCCAAGAACTGGCATGTCGTTTTCAAACAAATTTTCAAACCGAACTTTTGGATTTGCATTTGATGTCACTTCGTTGACTGTACGGTTTTCGCAATCTGTCAAGGTGGGAACGATTTGGCTTAGTTGAAAGGGAAGTGTCAACTTCCAACTGTATGGCGATGGAAACTTTTCGATACTTCTCGGGTCTTTTCACCGATCCATTCCTGTCAGGTATAGCTCCAGTGTTTTTTGCATGTGAGATGCATTCCACATCAGAATTCGCAAAGATTGTTCTGAGCAAGTGTGTACGTGTGTGCTTGTGTACGTATGTATGTATGTATGTATGTAGGTATGTATGTAGGTAGGTATGCATGTATGTATGTAGGTATGTAGGTATGTAGGTATGTAGGTATGTAGGTAAGTAGGTATGTAGGTATGTAGGTATGTAGGTATGTAGGTAAGTAGGTATGTAGGTATGTAGGTATGTGTGTGTGTACGTGTGTATGTGTGTGTGTACGTATGTATGTATGTAGGTAGGTAGGTTGGCATGTAGGCATGTAGGCATGTAGGCATGTAGGTATGTATGTATGTAGGTAGGTAGGTAGGTAGGCATGTAGGCATGTAGGCATGTAGGCATGTAGGTATGTATGTATGTATGTATGTATGTAGGTAGGTAGGTAGGTAGGTAGGTAGGTAGGCGGGCATGTAGGCATGTAGGTATGTAGGTATGTAGCGATTTAGGTATGTAGGTGGGAATGTGGGTAGGTAGGTACGTATGTATGTATGTATGTATGTAGGTAGGTATGTATGTATGTATGTATGTATGTAGGTATGTATGTATGTATGTAGGTATGTTGGTATGTTGTATGTATGTATGGATGCATGGATGGATGTATGTATGTATGTATGCATGTATGTATGTTTGTGCATGACAGATGTTGGATGCTTCGTTGCAGTACCTCCCTCGTACTTGCGCAGACCCTTGCTACTATGTTATTGGATCCTTTCTGGTACATGCACAAAGAGTTGATGTTACGTTACATGACGCGCCTTCTTTTGTACACGCGCAGACAGTTGATGCAACGTTAAAAGGAGTTATAAGTTCTTCTCTCCTGCTTCCGTAGACGCTTGATGTTACGTTACAAGATCTTCTCTT